CTCGCCCGCTGTCTCTTCAGCTTTCTTCTCGCAGCCCCACTCATTTTCGGGCGTGGCTCTGCGAGTTTCCTTGCCGCGGAATCGGACCGAGCATCGGTACTCGATCCCGCGTCGCTTCCTCCTTCTCTAGGTTCATTTCCTAAAGAAGCCACCTCCTGGAAAAGGTCATCTATTTTTTTGCTTTTGTTTGTACTTGTGTCCATACTTGTTCCCACGAGTACAGCGATCGCGCGATCTCACCCGGGCAGAGCCGCGATTGCCCGGGGATCGGCAGCGTACTCCCGGAGGTCGCCCGGTATCCGGGAGGCACCGTTAATGACACAGCTCCCCCTGTGCCACGCAGCCCTCAGCATGGTTGCTAGCACCTTGGCTTGGGGGGTTCCTCTTAGATGACTGTGGCCGGGAAACATCCCTGAGCGGATGCCCCGACCGCAGCCACAGCCCCACCACCAACGACAAGGTGGGAACCCATGCGGGGGGTATATATATATCCAACGAAATCTATTTACTCTGTTTTCTGTTTCTGTAGGATTTCCTTCATTCTACAGTTTTGCGTTTAATATTTTCTGAATCTTTTTTTAAAGTAGATGAGAAGATCGAAAATATCATTTATGTTGCAGCAATATGTTGCATATAATGACCAATTTTTGAAAACTTATTATTTATAACTTATTCAGGTTTTCTATATAAGTTCTATCTTTCATCTGTCAGTATAAGCATTATAAATTTTGGCGTAATTACAATTTATAAAATATTTATATATTATTCTAGGAAGATCGTTTGTAATATAATACAACCAATATAATGTACCCAAGATATTTATTGAAAATAAATTCTTATAGAATAAATTCCAATTTGATAGTTAAAACTTCAGTATACAATATAAATTTACAATATTAATTATTAATTATATAATCTAACACAAATAATGTATGTATTGAGAAGTGTGAATAATGTGAATAATGTATGACTTGAAAAGTCATTGATTTTTAAATAAAACTAATTTGGTATGAAAATGTCTGATTCTCTTAGTCGCATGTTGTGAACGCTTAGCTTCGTGACTTAATCTGATATCAAAATATTTTTTTAAAATAAGATTTATCAAGTCCAATTTATGACTAGAATCAGCTGCTTTTTCAGGCAATAAGTCCATCTTTGAAAACAAATTCAGATCAGGTAATAATTTTTGCGTGAATTATAAGCTTTTCAAGTACGTATTTCATAGAAAATAAATTTGGAGTACTTCTAATAACTTTTTCGGCAGTTTTGCACACTTTAACAACATCGTCACTTGGAGATATTAAACCTTTATTTTTATTAAAGTTAGATTTATGATTTCGGTATTTTCTTGAGGTATTCTATTATTTAATTTTATGAGTTTAGAGGTAACAGTATCGTTTTCTAATTATTCAAGACAAATTTTACATTTAACCTTTTTTTTTTTATAGATCTCACAACGAAACCAGAAATATAGGTAACAATTTCGCTATTATATTCATTCCACGTCCAACCATTACAGCCCACGTAATCATGTTCAAATGCTATACTAGCTAATTCTTCATTTATAAGATCATCTTTACATTGAAGCTCTGAATTTGCACATTTCAACAATGTAGTGTTATCTTGCTATATACAATTCGCTGTATTTGGTACAATAGAATTAACATGAGTAACAATTTTCTTATAGCTTGACCTACATTGTCGACAAGTTGGATTGTTATTAAAATCACCCATTTTTCTAATACACGAAAAGAAGGTTTCATGATCCTGAGACAATTTATAAGTCAAAAGATATGATATTAATTTATGTTCAAAAATATTACGTGCAAGTTTTAAAGCGCTTTTTATACCGATTATTAATCCCCAGAAGTCTGTTCTGCGTTTGCTCATAATAATGGGTGTAATTTTATTTGAAGCTTTGTTTTCGACAATTTTTAGATTTGTTATATAATGGATATACTCATTTATCCTGTTTTCTGTTTCTGTAAGATTTTCTATCATTATATAATTTTGCGTTGAATATGTTTCGAACTTTCTTCTTGAATTTAGAATATCGAAAGTATCATTTATGTTTTTGCAATATTTTGCAGTTGCTTCTACGTCTGCAAATTCCTCTGGAAAATTATCCTTCAGAAAGAGCAGTGCATTTGAAACTTTATTGCTGAAAATCTGTGCCGCAAGTTTTACTTTTATTTTTTTTTTTTTTTATTCTATATGGCGACGATAAATTTTGGTGGCCAAGTGTAAGTGTTCTTTTTCTTGATATTCAACAAGTTTTTCTAAATAACGCCATTCAATGTATTTACCGTTTTCGTCAATTAAAACAAACTCAGATGTCGCATTTCGAACCAACTTAATCATGTGACAAGAATCAGGTACAACAACAATATAGGATTTTGTTACCGGATGCTCAAAAAAACACTCCTCTACATTTTGTATGTTAGCTCCAAGACACTTTACCATGCCCAAGTTTGTTGCAGCACCATCGAATGTCATCGATCTGACGTCTGTTATTTCATTGTCATGTAAAACTGTTAAAATTTGATTTGTAATGTTCGCTCTTACATCAGCCGTCAAACTTCGTATAAAGTAATAAGCTACTGGAGTTTTAAAATGTCCATTCAAGCATACTATCATGTATACTAAAGCATAAGTTGCTTGTTCAGATTCGTCATTTTCCAAGCCTAAATCTACCTGTCCATGATATCTTTTACCATCCCATTTGACAGATTGTTTTATGGACATTTCATTGACTTGTAAACCAAATTGTAATTTAACACCCTTTGCAGCATTTTCGATAATCATGCTTTTTATATTATCTAAAATAGGTTTGCTAATGCCAGGACTGAAATCAATATTTGAATACCACTTTCGTATTGTTTGAGGATGAGGAAAATTCTTCAAGAAAGTATGTCTGACATAATTATATGCAGGTGTTGAATAAAATAATAATGTGCAGGAAAATTCTTTCAAGGCTGGAGGATAAAGGTTTTTTTTCTTCTTGGTTAGGAGATTGTGGATAATTTCGGCTATTATTGGA